CAAGCTACGAGGACAAGGTTATGATGGAGCTAGTAATATGAGAGGTGAGTTCAATGGCCTTAAGACAAGAATTTTGAGAGAACAACCTTGTGCATTTTATGTTCATTGCTTTGCTCATCAACTTCAACTAGCTCTTGTTGCGGTAGCAAAGAAAAACATTGATGTCAACTCTTTTTTCACAACGGCTAATAGTTTGGTTAATGTTGTTGGAGCATCTTGTAAGCGTCGCGATGCACTTAGAGCACAATACCAAGAAGAGCTAGTGAAAGCTTTTGAAAATGATTGTCTTATAACGGGGCGAGGCTTAAATCAAGAAACTACTCTCAAACGTGCCGGCGATACAAGATGGAACTCACATTATGGTACGTTGATTAGTATCATTTCTATGTTCCCATCTGTGGTGAATGTGCTTCAAATGATTGTTGATGATAATCCTAATGATAGTTCGGGTGAAGCCTATAAGTTATGGAGAGAAATACAATCTTTTGAGTTTGTGTTTCACTTATTTTTAATGAAGGCTATATTGGGAATAACAAATACTTTGTCTCTAGCATTGCAAAAGAAAGATCAAGACATTATGAGTGCAATGAGTTTAGTGAAAACATGCAAGGAAAACCTATAGTGGATGAGGGATAATGAGTTTGAAGAATTGATTGAGCAAGCATCTTCGTTTTGTAACAAATACAATATTACAGTTCCTGACATGGATGAGGAATATGTAATTCCAGGGAGATCACGGCGTAATGCTCCAATGAAGACAAATTATCACCGTTATCGTGTGGAGATCTTTATTCATGTAATTGATGGGCAACTTGTGGAATTAAATGATCGCTTCAACGAGGTAAGTACTGAGTTACTTACTTGCTTGGCATGCTTGAGTCCGAAAAATAACTTTGTAGCTTTTGACAAACGAAAGCTAGTTCGTCTTGCTCAATTTTATCCTTATGATTTTTCGGATCGAGACTTATTGATGCTTGAAGATCAACTTGGTGTTTATGTTCATCATATGCGTTCGAGTAGTGATTTTTCTCAATTGGAAGGGATTAGTAGTCTTGCGGAAAAAATGGTGGAGAAAGGAATGCATGAAATATTTCCTTTTGTGTATTTGCTTCTTACATTGGCTTTGGTTTTACCGGTTGCAACTGCTTCAGTGGAAAGAGCATTTTCCGCCATGAATATTATTAAAAATCCACTTCGCAACAGAATGGGAGATCAATGGTTGAATGATAGTTTGATTGTTTACATTGAGAGAGATGTTTTTGCTTGTATTGATAATGAAACTATAATGCAACGTTTTCAAAATATGAAAACTCGTCGTGGACAATTGTAACTTGTATTATTGGTTTTGTTATGAATTATGAATGGAAGTACTATCTTTCTATCTTTTTAGCATTATTTTCATTGTAGAAAAATTTTGGAACTTTTACACTAAGCCCCCTTGGCCACATAATCCTGGATCTGCCACTGGGTATAATAGTGAATCTCTCATAATTTTTTAAATTTTGAGAAGAAAAAAATTTCTTTTGAAATATTAAAAAATATTTTAAAAAATTCTTCACCTATCAGGATAATTTTTTCGTTTTCATAATAAAATACTTTCGTCAGATAAAAAAATTTAAAAAGAAAAGCTGAAGACGGTGACCCTCTCTCTCTCTCTACTCTATCACTCTTTCACTCGCTGACCTAAATAAAGGTAAAGAACAAGGATTTCTTGTTGTTAATTTAGGTGTTTTATTATCTTGTTTCCTTTTTTATTGACGGTGTAAATACTGTCCTTTTTTATTCACGGTCTAAATAGGATTTCTTGTCAAGCAAGTCTAAATAGGATCTCTGTAAATTGCCCCATATTGTTCGACTTTTCTTGCTTTGATAATCTTGGGTTTAGGAAAAATTCAAATATTTATCAGTCATCATGCCGTATCTTGTTCGTGAGAATCTATTCCTCGGCAACATCGGCGATGCGGCGGAGGTTATCCGAAATGGCAGCAAAGAGATCACACATATTCTCTGTGCAATTCCCACAAAGGAAATCAAGAAGGTCTATGCTGGCGGGTCTGTTGGTGGGTCAACTTCTGTTGGTGATGGGTCGAAAACTTGTTTGCTTTCCAATAAGCTTTCGTACTCGTTGGAACGTGCAGGCAAGGATTTGAAGCTGGAGAGGATGGGGGTTCCGCTAAGAGATATGGACGATGAGAATTTATTGGATTATTTGGATGTGTGTGTGGATTTTATTGATAAGGGTAGGAAAAAGGGTTCTGTTTTGGTGCATTGCTTTGCTGGTGTTTCCAGAAGGTACATATTGCTTTATCAGTTTATGATTTTCAGTTTTTAGAATAACAAGAGTCTACTAATAGTGTCGAAATTATTCGGAGCTGGTTTACATTCTGATAGATTTTTCAGTTTTCTGAATTGTCAAGTTTAAAGTGTTTACACCCTTGTTTGCATGTGTTTGTTGCAGTGCATCTATCATTACAGCATATCTGATGAGAACAGAACACTTATCACAAGAAGGTGTGAACAAATCACTGCTTGTTTTAAGTATCCCAAGTCCTCGTAGATTAACTACATGTTGCTGCTATATTTCTGGAATCCAAATAGCTGCTATTGTTTCTTCAGTTCAGATAAAAATTAGTTTCACAAGCTTGTATGACTTTAAAAATGGGAGTTGATTTTGACATTCCACATCCTAATATGGTACTCTCTCACAAGAGGAGTGCCAAACTCATATGGTCCACCTGTGTGAGAGAGTAGAGGAGTGTGGGAGGTGATAGTTGGAGTGCCAAAATCATCACCCTTCGAAATATATGAATTCCTTAAAAATTGAATTGAAGAAAAGGTAGAGTGGGTTACAAATGCTTAACTGCTTTAGTCATTATCTTCCTCTTATGCAATCCTACAGATGCACTCGGATCCCTGAGGCAAAGCTGTGAGTTTGTTTGCCCCAATGATGGTTTTCTAGATCAGGTGATTCAAGGCACTCTTATGTAACATCTTGTACAAGGTTAGATTACTTTCTGCTAAGCCAGCCCATAGTGAATTTTACTCTTTTCTTTTATCGTGTTGCAGCTCAAAATGTATGAGGAAATGGGCTTCAAGGTTGATCGTGCCAGCCCCATATATAAGTCTTTTCGCCTGAAAGTATTGGGTACAGTTTTATTTTTTCTTAGTATTGATTGAACATCTTGCATTCATGTTTTGGTAAAATACAAGATGATGAAAGTGCTCCATGGGACATAGAGACTAGGCTATAATTCTTGTGCCGTTGACTGACTAGAAATTGTTGTACGTAGGCTTTTCTTGAGTCTCATGATATTAGAGGCACCAACTCTTATCCCAGCTTTTTAATACCAACTGATGAGGCACATAATATGATAGTCGCTTGCTGTTTGTAAATAAATGAGGCTCAAATTTAAACAAATGAAGTACTACCACATCAGTTTGTATATGAGTTGGTGTGCCTAGGATTATATGTAAAATTCATTGATAGGAAGGTATTAAGGAGCCATTGCTTACCAAATTGGTTGTATATCATTGAAGTAGGATGTGAGATGGTTGGTCCAGCTTTTGGTGGGGTTATTGCTCAAAGAATGTTATTTTGAGAAGCGAGCGGGTTTGGATTGAGCATGGAGACACTGCTGGATTATGAGAAATCCCTAACTGAAGCTTCCAAGGTTCTGAAAGGAACTCAAAAACGCCAAAGGTTTAGAATTCCAAAAGCAAGATTGTCCCAATTTAGTTCACTCTATTTATACATGATAGAATCTCGAGAAAACCGTATCGAGTTAAATTGTAGCACTCAGAATAAAAATAATCTCACTTGTCAAATTAGCTTAGGGAAACTAACACAAAAAATTGCTACAATGCTGCTACGGTATCCATGAACTGTACCTCCCAATCTGTTTTTTAAATTGTTTGCCATTCTCCTCTACCTTACCTAACATTTTAGCAGAAGAGAAAAAGAAAAAGAAAAAGAAATGCTTACCAGAACAGCAGTGACAACTGTGAAGGGTGTTGCAACTGCATGGCAAATGTTCTTGATGTTTATTACTATGTGAAAAGTTGTTTGTCCCAGAATAGGAGACATTATAAGTTATGCCTACTCATTTTCACTGGAGGTTTCAAATTGAGTGGCAAATTTGAATTTCTGTTTTCTCTGCTATAATAGAAATATTTTATCCATCCTTTCAGGTGAATCTTATCGTCGTGGGGATAAAATAGACAATTCTAAATTTGGGGCAGATCCTGGGTTGCCTAGTGAAGTTGCCTCTGGAGCAAAAACAGGTCAAAATGGAGGAAAAACTGGTACACCAGCATTCCGCTGCAAGAAATGCCGAAGAATTGTTGCATTGCAGGACAATGTTGTGGATCACATTCCAGGCGAGGGTGGGAAATCGTTTGAGTGGCGAAAGCAAAAAAGTAGCAACTTGTCTGAGGATTCTGAATGTTCATCTATTTTTGTTGAGCCTCTAAGGTGGATGACAGCAGGTAACTGTGCCATATTTATAACTGTATGGCTTACCTTTTCCATTACAGTAATAGTTAATCATGCGAAAGTGCTCTCTTGTCAAAAGAGTTTACTTGGGTTCTTTGATTTGATTGTTATTTCATATTTATAAATGCTCTACAGTTGTTTAACTGGGATATTATATGATCAAATTGTCACTTGAGATTAGATGTTAACTGCGAATTGATTTTTCTTGTTGACCAGTTAATCCAGTGTGTTGACAAATGATGGTATTTTAAACATTGAAAAAGTATCGAATATAGACTTTGACACTTGGACACAATCCACATCCTTTTCACATTCCTATTTCTGAACCTATAGGGCTTTTCTTGATCTTTTCCTTTCTTTATTTTTCTTCAGCTGATTTTGGTTTCCTTATACCTTAACTTGAATGAAGTAGAAGTTATTTCGTTTGGAGGCATCTTTTGTTCAATGTGATTTGTCATAGAAACATGATATAATTTAATCTTTCATATGTTTTCTCATTACACAGTTGAAGAAGGAGCACTGGAGGGCAAGTTGTCATGTGCACATTGTAAAGCTCGCTTGGGTTACTTCAATTGGTCAGGCAGCCAATGCAGTTGCGGGAGTTGGATCACTCCTGCCTTCCAGCTTCATAGAAGCCATGTGGACGTCAGCACTGCCTAATATCCGTCAAGGCAAAGCTTGAGTTGAGCCCCTATCAGGATAAAGTGTCCAAAACCCCTCTAAGCAATCGACGAAAAGGATGCTAAGTTTAGGGAGTTTCTCACACTGTGTACCCAGATCAAAATTGAGCAGCTGCAGCTAGAGAAAATGCTTCCTTGATCTATGTTATATGAGATTTTGGGGATTCGGGTTTTGTTTTTCTCATTTTCCAATGCAAACTTAGTTTAGGTGCTGAAAATATCGT